ATCAAAATTGTATCTTTATTATCAAAGTAAATCATATTCTGAATAATTTGTTTATTATTAGATTAACAGGATAGTATCTGGACTAAGCAATTCCTACCGAGATAACTTTACAACATTCTCTAGTCACATAACCTGAAGGTCACATTACGACTTGATCATTAGGGTTCAATCAAGATTGGTATTGCTCGAATTTGTCCTTCTAATATATTTTTATTCGATAACTTTACATCACTTTCAAAATTATTATCTCTTGAGGAGGATTTTCTTTCTGTTGATTGTTTGTATATGATACTTGCTTTTTAAATTCTTACCTACTTAATTATCTATTTACCTGCCTATCTATCCATCTATCTACCTATCCATTCATATGCAAGGAAAGGTGTGTAAACCTGTGCTGATTTTGTTTATTTAATTAGGTTAATCGTGATAAGGAGTTATATAGATTAAAAATATTTAATTTCATTCTTCATATTTTACTGGGATGAGAATCCAACCTCACAAATGAAATGAAAACAAATTGTATCTTTATGCTGCGGTAACACAACAACAAAAGAAAACAGGATAAAATAGATGAAATCATATTCTCTTCTTCTCTCCAATATTGGTTGATGGAGTGTGTGTGTGGTGAGGTGGGGTTAGGTGGTCGTGTGTCCTGTAAAATGAAGAAGAAATCAGAATGGAAAACTACATGTCGAAAAAATAACTATAAAATAAATATTACTAGTGTTATTCTACGCTGTTCTTTTTTCTATTTATTTCTGTGAGAGTAAACAAAGAGATTTTAAGTTGTTGGTTTTTTCTCCGTTTCGTCTGGTATCTATTTGTGAATTCGATCATTTATTTGACTTTATGTTAAGGTTTTTTTCTACCAAAGTTTTTTACACACTGACTTTTTATCTTTTAGAATAAATATAGTTAATCTAAGCACATCTATGCTAATCAGATATATATATATATATATATATATATATATATATATATATATATATATATATATATATACTATAATTGATACTGATTTATCTAATATGCAAATTAGACTAAAAATGGTTTAAATTGTGAACTGACTTCAACAAATGAGCTGTTGAAATTTAGAGAACAGCTGATAACTAACATAATATTCTTCAGAAGTGTTCTTTTATGACTTGATTATAGATGGAACTTAAGAATCTTAGGTCTTATGGAAATGACACCCATATTTTCAACTTTAATTAATTCAATATAAATTGATTAATTTAAATAAAACTTCATATACTAGTAGATTATTTGTAGTATAACATTTACTGTTATTTAACTACTTAAAGTAGATCAACAGCAAAGTTTTATTTCTTAAACCAAAAAAGCAGTGGTTACTTTTTAAATGATAAACTGGACTAGCGACAAGTTGGTGTATTTTATCGTCATCATCACGGATGTCATTGTTTGTTTGTTGGAAATCATCATTACATAAAAAATAAAATTGAACATACACATTTTTTATATCTACATATATACCATTTGTCTGGGTATGTGTGTTGTCCAACTTGTTTCGTTGACCTCTGACTAAATGTCTGGTTGACCTTATTCTCATAGATTTGAGATTAAGGCGTATTAATTTCAGATTGAACTGAATGTAATACTTTTAGAAATTCTCCAATACTATTTAAATTTCCTCGATTTAGAATTCTGATGGTTTCTCAATTGAATTTGTATTGATGCTCGTGGAATGTTCAAATAACTACGTGAAAAACAAGCCTTAATGATACTATCAAAACAAAACTAAACGTCTCATAACTGAGCCGCCTAGCTCAAAAATTACAACACTCCAAGCGATAAAATGATTGTTTAATTTTTCATACAGTTAGTACGATGGCCAAATAAAACTATCGAACCAATGCGTGAAACAAATTATTATTGGTCATCAGTATAAGGGTTGTGGAGCTCGTTGAATTTCGTCAAGATCAGCAACCGATCTGGGGTATACAACCCCGTAAAGCCTTGGAACACTGAACGGACATTTCGTCCTAGTATGGGTTCATTCGACATTGTGCATTCACGACCTCTACACACAGAACTCGAACATTAGGACTACTGGTTTCGGGCGCAAAAACTTAATCTCGAAACAACTGAGCCGTCGTCTAATGGTGTTAATGTCCAACGTTAACCAATTCACGATATTTAGAGGCCACCTTACATTGTCTTTGGTGGATAACCGCCTCACGCTCGACACGGTTGAATTCTACTGGTCTTTTCTATCATAAAAGCTAATTAAGCTCAGACAATTTTTTTTAGTTCAAGCTTACAATACAGTTGTTCCACTGTTTGGTTAAATTAATTCTTTTATCCTAGATAACTATAGAACCACAAAAAAATCGTTGAACAGGAAATCTTTTCGAAAATACAAATTTCCATTTTTAAAAGGTGATCCATGGAATAGATCGTTAAGTGAATACTAGCTCATGACTATTTTAACTAATTTTGCGGATATTAGTCACATAATGATTAACTTACTGTTCAGTAATAATTGAACAATCTGTCGGATACATTCCTTTATCAAATCATTTATAAGTAATCTTAAGGCCTAACTTAGTCGAGTAGTTTCTAGATCATAATATTGTTGACATTTTTATAGATAGTTTTTTTAATAAACTATACTACTTATAATAAACTGACCACTGAAAACAAGTTTACAAATGAAGTAAAAATGTCGTTTATTTAATTCTATTAGCATAAAATGAACATAATCACACTTTCGAAGTGATTTTCACCCACCCACCACCAACTGAAGAAAATAGTGTACAACTGTTTTATCACACTTTTTTTAAAGATTTCAACAATACGAAGAAACAACTTTGTACATGTAACGGAAACCAAGATCTTGTTATATTTAACTATGAACATGAATGTTTCAGATAATTGAATGGTAATTAAATTCACATAAAGTCACTTATTTTGGTTACTTCTGAGCTTACATTTAAGCTATCAGAACTTTCACCTTTATGTAATGTACAATATTTTTCACAATGACCAGCGAGACTATAATTTATGGACGAACCAATCAGATATAAGATAACGAGTCACGAATTTTGCCGCGAAATTCAACCATACACTTAGCTAAACAGAGTTTTAGCATTATAGCTGATGTCAATTCGTGATGAAAAGCGTAAATCTATTTTTTAGCCCTAACTATCAACTGTAAATGAGAATTCTAACTGATTTATAACCCTCATTTAGTCCTAATCAGTAGAAGTCCACTCTCAAGGTCACTTCAATGTCGCTCAAAGGTCATTCATAAGTTATAGTCTCACTATCAATGAAACAAAATCACCGTCTATTTTCGATTCATTTCACTAAAAACTAAACCACATATATAACAATGAATGAATCGATAATCAGGAATAACATTATTTTATTAAGTGAAATATTTACAAACTAACAGTCAGTTAAACAAAATCGAATATTAAAACATCATTTGAGAAATTTTTTTCTTTTTAATTTTTCTCTATGATATTTTTCTCTCTGTTTTTTCAGTGTATCTATCTACCTTTAATTTATGCTGATAATTAAAATATTTAATTACACGAAATTATTGATAATGAATAAATAAATAAAATTTTATCATAAAATTGCGCAGTTATAATCATTGATGAAATTTTGATGAAATAATGTCATTTGAAAGCCAAGGGAAAGGATACTATTACTCGCACTAATAGTAATAATAGTAGCAATAATAATATTATTAATAGTAATAATAATAATAATGAACAACGTAACAATTTTTCTGCGGGTTATTTAACAACTATAAAATAAGAAAATGATTTAAATTTTGTTTTCTCAATAAAACAACGGAAGAAAATCAAGAACATCAACGGTTCTTATCTTGTTGATAACTACCTGTTCAATGGTAATAAAATGAGGCATTTTTATGCCAACTAAAAATAAAAACAAAATTCAATTAATAAATAAATAAGGAATAGGAAAACAAAATTTTTTGTTGTTGTTGAAATTTTTAAATGATTCTCATGCTTTTCTCTCGATACATTCACCGATTGTCACATATATAGTCCAGCAATAAGTAGAGTGATGTTTATATGTATTTTTTTAGAAATGTATCGTACATATATATATATATATATATGTACGTTCTGCTTGTTGTCTCCTTGTTGTTGGGATAAAAAAAGCGTAGGGTAACAAATTTAGTCGAGTCTATTTGAAATGTGTAGCAAGTAACATTGATATCCCTATGTTGTGATAGTGTAGTTGTCCTTCTCTACATAGTTGTTATTGTTACATAGAACAAGATATTGTTAGTAGCACAATTTGATTTCTTTATTCTTTTTTTCTGAGAAAACAAATATTAAATGAAAAGATTGAAAATTCAGGGAAAGATTGGAAAGTGCTCAAAGATTAAGAAAGATAAAATAATAAAAGTTTAATTGTCAGAAGACAATAAACAACAGCATTATCAATTTAAATCAATTAATCCGATTGGTAAATTTCGATAATGCAGTGAAAAGACGAAGTTTATCAAAACTACAATGATATATTTGCACAACATATTTTGAACAATCTGATCACACATATACTTGTTAAGAACATTTTTATATGAAAATTAAAAGATTAATTAGACAGATTAAAGGTAAGCTGTAATAAAGAAAAATAAAGTGCACAAAAACAATATGATAACCACTTTAGATAATAAATCAGTATTACTATCATTAATGAAATTATTTACTAAACATATATTGTATCAACAAATTATTAAGTTTACATTAATGAATTTGATAAATAGAAAAAAAATTGAATTGTTTATTGAGTAACAATAATAGCTCAATAAATATTGATTTATATATTTGGTTTAATATGATGGCATAAAGTAGAATCAAGTATAAACTTGTGATATTACTAGATTAAATACCGAATAGTTTAACCAATTAGTCAACTGATTAAGTATATATATATATATATATATTTAAGAAATTAAACTAAATATTTTATAATATAAATAGATTATTTCATATTTAATGAATTCCTTCTATTTTTGACTTAATTCTATTAAAAACATGTTCAACCATATGAGTTTCTAATTCATTACGAGTTGATAATAAAGTATTACAATAATTACATTGTAATGAAATTTGTTGATTCATTAATTCTTGTTTATTATTATATATATTAGTTGAATTAATGATTGTAGTATGACTATTATTATTAGTATTAGTATTATCATTATTATCATTAGTTGATAAATTACTTTCGATGTAATTTGATTCAATACCATTTATTGATTTTGATGATTCAATATTAATGTTTGTTTTATTAAAGTTTAATATTGTTTTTGTATTTATATTATCATGAATTTTATAATCATTGTTAAATGAATTTTCAAGTATTGCTTGAACAGTAAAAGTTGGTTTTTTTATATAATTAGAATTAATCATTAATTGATTATATTGATTTTTTTGGTTATGATGAAATATCATTGAATTTAATTTATTCTTTGATATATTGTTTAAATGTATACTTTTATTTAATAATTTTGAATTGGTAGTTAGTTTTTTAGAATTATGATTATAATATTTATTTTCTGTTAAATATTTATAATTATTTGATATTGAAAATGATGAATGATTTTCTCTAGTTATTTGATCATAATTGATTTCAGATTTTGGTTTATGCCAACGTCTATGACTAGCAAGATTAGCTGGACAACTAAATACCTGAAATAATTAATAAATGAAGAAAGAAAATAATTATATAAATCTATAAATCAAATATTACAGATGAATTTAATTAATATTATTCAAAGTGGTACATTCTAATCTTGAGTAACATAGTTACATTTACTTGAGGTATTCTAATAATGTTCTCAAATGTAAATAAATAGAAGTTGTAGTCTTTTTTTCAAAAACTTAAAATATATATAAACACATTATATGTGAAAATTATAATTGAAATAATTTCAGAGGTTAAAATTTAAATAATTCCAATGTTTCGTCCAGCTAATTCTTTTGAACTTCTCCAGGGTAATAATCAAAATCAAAGTCATCTTTGATTTCAATCGCTGAGATTATTTCAAATATAATTTTTACATATAATGACTTCTCTATACTCGGCGCCTAATTTCTGTCAAACTATTCGTTCTAATCTTGACGAATATTTGTATAAAATATATAAACACAACTTGGTGATTAACCAGTAACCAATATTAGATATGTCTATTTCTTAATTTTGAACAAATTCTATTTATTAATTCGTAGTGTGACTATTAGCTCAAGTGATTTGACTTCTCAGTCACGTTTGAATGTTCAGTGGGATTAAAGGTATTTAATAGGGAACCCTGAAAATGGATTTGAAAATCTCGTTGTGATTGATGGGTAAAGTTCTAAATTGTACTAAGATTTATCAGATCAATGTAAATGATTATGCATTAGTACTGAAAATAAACACTTGATGATTTGTAGGAAATGTTGGTTAATAACTTCAATAAAGCTTATGGCTATGCCTTAAAATGATAGTTCTAATCACAAGCTGACATTAGTTAAAATATTAAGGAATAACAGAAAACAACTAATAATTGTTTTGTTTTAATTTAGAACTTCTAAAGATTATTCTCACCCCTAATTCCACTAACCTAGTTGAAACCATACTTCAGGTTTCATAGTGAGCTTATTAGCATAAAATCATTAAGTTTTAATTCAATGATTCTTACTTTCAAGTTTCTGTCAATGAACTGTATAACGATATCATTATCCATGGCTACTTATTTCACATCATATGAATGCATCTATTTACTTGATAAATTTCATTAGAAACTATGAAAGTTGACTAGAGGTAAAGAAGAATATATCAAGTATCTAAAGCATTGTTAACGACATCAATGAAAGAAGGGACCAGTGACACTAAAATCCTTAATATAACTTATTATATGGAAATCGAATTCAATTTTAATTTGGAATTATACAAATAGTAGTCCAAATTAATGTAAATATATTCGTAACAATTTTGGATTTATTTACTCTCACTAATATTTAAATAAAACCATTTATAACTTTTGAAAAAAATATAATAATTTCAGTATTCGAAGAAAGTCGAACTATACCATTAGGTCAAGGTATCTACTGTTTATCAAGATAAGTGAAGCCATGATATCTAAGCTAACATCTGACTAAGTATAGATTATTATCATGTATATAAAGGACGTAGTAATGTTGTGTACAATTACAGTACACGAATCAGTTTAAGTGTTTATCACAAAATTTTGTTTTCATTCTAGTCAACCGGATAAGTTATCTTTTGTAATACTTATTGATGAAATGTAGTAGTTTTCAACAGATCATAGAAACATATTAAATTTATAATTATATAATTGAGTAAAATGTCCTAAATATATCCAAGATTATGTTGTATTTCGTTATAATAGTTTGGGTGCATTACACTTTACTGAAATAGAACTTGAATTCATTCATTGTAACCAATGGAAACCTTTAAGTTTGATTTGGATACTTATTGAAGCTTACAAGCAACACTTATCTGTTATTTTTAGAAGGATAAATATAATTCCTTATAGATTCAAAACTTCTATAGTTAGCATCAAATGAAGCACATGTAAATCAATCTATAGACCAAAATTAGGTTGAGCGTTCGTACTCGAGACTGAAGGCCCTGGATTCGAGTCCCGCGAGTGGGATCGTGTTTGCTCACTGCTGAGGAGTCTCACAATAGAACGAAACGGCCATCCAGTGCTTCCAGGTTTTCAATGGTGGTCTATCATCAATCAGTTCATGATCTCAACCAATAACTTAATAATCTCCACAACACTATACCAAAATTAAAAATTAAAATCAGAGTATAACATCGTTTACTATATGGTAACTGATTTGTATAAATTGATGCTAACTCATTCCAATATTATATCAGCATATTTTTTATTCATTCATGGATGTAAAATACAAATTTGAAAAATAAAGAAATTTCACAAACATTAATCTTATTCGCTGATTATTCAGTAGTATAAGTTATTATTCTCAAATATTTGAATAAATGTTAGTGCCATATAATGATATATAAGTTGAGAGAAAATAAGACTACTGAGTGTTGTCTTTAGACTTTTATCCAACTTTTTTTCTATTAAACAGCTGAAAACTTTATACGTTACTCAGGTCAATAGGGTGAACCTAACCTATAACAGAAAAAAGGAAAGTGTGGGAATTATTATTCATGTGTTCACAATTTAGATTTTATTTACTAATAATATGGAAATATATTAAAACATTTATAAAAATTACAAAAATAATGAAAGCCAAACATGGTTGTAATATTGTTTACTAATATGTGGTGTTTTATTGCAAACATCTGGGTCCTAAAGAATAATACTCATCAGCTAAAAAAACTCAACAACAGTACCTCTGATTTACTATTTAAGGGATACATGTTTGAATTTTATCAGGAGTGTCAGTCCCCTTAGGATCTGCCTAATATATAAAACAGGTTCAGCGCTACATGCTGATGATTTTCAAATAAGATGTACTATGATGCCAGATCATGGAAATCAGTGATCAAATTATCACGTAGTCAATAGAGTTTGCGGTCAGTACTATAAACTAGAGAACATCTCATTATCAAATACTAAGTGATTAATTATTATTAAACAGATAGAAGAAATTATCACATTTCGTTATATTATATTTGTCAGTTTGTGTGTATGGACGTGTATGCACAAGTGGAAGTAATCAAACAATAAATTTAGGGTTAAAGAAATGTGTAACGAAACGGTTATCTATCTAACATAAATAACTATCCTCCTTCATGACAGAATATTTTAATGAAACAACTCATAAAATTGACCTTAAAAAGTCTTTTTAATTTTAATTCGAAAACTATGAAAAAGTCTGTTTGATAATAATTTATTATTCATTTCGTATATTGTACTCTTCTTTTCCTTTTTAAATCAATATTAATCACTATTTATTGATTCAGTTTTCTATATAAGATGCTCTGACAAGTAAATATACTACTTATATTAAAGTGTGTATTATTCAATTACACTTCAGTTATTATTGAATTACCAAAGTACTGTATGCTTTTTTAAAGTTAATATCATTCTAGTAGTTATTATGAGAGCACTAACATTTTAGTCATCAATTGAAATGTAAGAATAGAAAAGTACTAACATTTGAAAATCAGTCCCAGGTATTTTAGTATTTAAAAACTCGATAAAAGCTTACTCTATTGACAATTTCAAATTCGTATCATGTATTTTTATCATTATTTTTGGCTCATGATTGACGGGAACGGATTAAAAAAATTCTAGGTTCATATTACCTTTTATTTTAGTATGATGGGAATTTGTAGATAATACACTAATGTACTTTTGTTCAAACACTAATGCATTCGTTTTAATATTTTCCGGAAATTTGGAATCTAGTTTTCGTTACTGATAGTACATAATTAGTGACCTTGACTAAATTTAAACTTTTAAAAAGTAAATATATGGTGTAGTGTTCTAAATTATTGTTATGATAATCATTATTATTAAAACGTTAGACTATATAACATGTAATAGTCATCAACATACAGTAATTTCTACAAACACTTTCATCATATTCTACATTCAACCTACAAACATAAGTTCACTAATATTAGGAAGTAAATTGTATTCAGAGAATTTAATATTAGTGGTGAGTGTTTATTTAATAGTAACTTATATATCTGAAAATCGGTGAAAATTAGAAGGCCTCAAGCCAATATTTTTAATCTTCTTACTTTGTATAAATGATTAACTGAATAATTTTAAATTATACGTAAATATACTAAGTAATGATAAAATTACAAGGAGGCTTGGATCTCTTGGTTAGATTGATAATTAGTGTCATTAAAATTTGATGCAATTAAAAAATGTTATGAAAGAAATCGGTCATGATGATGGTGATTATTCTGATTATTATTTGAATAATTAATTGATTTCATTTAAGATTGAGCGACTTGATATCATACTGTTCATTGAAAATGATCATCAGAGAGTCATAAACTTGGGTTACACAATAGGGGACTTTTGTTATCAATATTTATGTGATTGATGCTCTTTGAGGGGATAAATATTTGACCAAACCACTAATAATACATCTCTTCAGGGATGTAATTTCTACAATGTACGTATTATAGTCACATATACTTACACGTTTTCCTAATAAGTACTATATATATTTTCTGTTTGATTAGGTAATGGGTAGGTACGACTACCTGCTGTCATCATATTACAGAATAGATATTTACTATATCTTGGTTTTATTTTAAATGTTATCCATAAGCAAAATACAGTGATAAGTATTCAATTTCCAACTACACCTATGTATAAGCAAAGTTGGACAGTAGCTAGCACAGTATGCACATATGCCAATGAGAGACTGATCAATTTCAGTTCCAAACATCAATGGGTAGACTCACGTAAAACAATATCAAGTGAATTATACCTATGTATATTTATAAGGATAATGTATAGTACTATTAACCGACTTTTTAAACGAATACAGGTCAAGTGAGAAAGAAATCTTGTACGCAATTAATAAGTCAAGTGTATGATATTTACGAATAGATCATTTAAAATATGAGCATTCACTGAAAGTTGTTTTTATGAGTAGCGCTATTGTTCTGTTAAAATAGGATAAATGAAATTAAATGACACTTCATTAATTGTTTTTTTTCTTTTACCTTATCACATTCAGGACAACGATAATCAGTATGCAGTATTAATGGACAACGATGATTAGCTAATTTGAGTGCATTTTCAAAATATTGATTACAAAGTCGACAAATATATGGTCCTAAATTATTCGGTAATTTAGCTAAACGTTTTAAGATTTTTTGTACGGTTAAATGTTTAGGAATATTAGTTTTTATATCCATTGAATCTACTGATAGAGATGGTGATGAGGAATTTGATGATGTTGCTGTTGCATTTGTCGATGTTGTCGATGGGGACGTAGATAATTTATTCGATAAAGATATAACAGATGATGGAGAAAATAATGATAATGCTGTTGATGATTGAACTTTCTTAAAAATTCTTTCATTCATTCCTGAAATCGATAGTTTTGAATTTGAATTAACGAATGGATAATGTTGTGTTTTAAAGTAATCACAATTGGATAAAGGAAAAGATGATAATGTTTGGGAGTAACCTTTAGTAAAATCATTTGATTTGTACTGTGAATTATTTGCTATTAAACAAAAGTCATTAAAACAAGGATATTTAGAAGTGGAGTTTATAGGATTACTTGTTGATGAATATGGTTTTAATTTTAAGTTTTTATATGAACTGATTATTGGTGATTTGAAAGTACATACAGTATTTGGTCCCTCATTTGTTATAATTTGATGATCTTGAAGTGAATCATAATTCATAAATTCAACGATATTATTGCCAATGTTGCTATTACAACTAGTATTACTATTTATAGAAGATGTAGTATTATGCAATTTGTTAATGACATGTCGAGTATATCTATCCAATAACTGCTTATATGTATTAAAAAAATTAATAATTTTCGTTTGCGTTTCTAAATTGTGATTGGCATTACCATAATTAGTTTTCAAATTGGGTTTAAATGACATTGGAAAACAAGCTTCAACTTAATTTAGCTAATATTAGTCTTGTTAAGAGGTATAATTCTGTGAAATACTAAGTGTATCTAGGTAATTCTAGAGGGCTAAAATAAAATTTAAATCATAAAACATCATTTTGTGGATGACTATAGTGAAAATGATCAGGATAGGACGGTAGAAAAGATGCTAAAGAGGGGTTTGTAAAACGCGTAGTAACAACAGGCTATCTAGTATATAATAATGACTTAATGTTTTAATATTTCTAATTGAAGAGATTCCTGTTTATGTTAATCCGACAAAATTCTATTTAACTTTTTAAAAAATAAACCAATTGGAATTTCCGTGACTGAATGATACGAAAACTATGAGATTGAAAGGGAAAAATCATTTCTCCAATGACTATAAACCTCAGGAGTGAAAAATTATTTGTAATGGGTTGAAAAGCAGGACAGTTAGTAGTTTATTTTTAAAAATTTTTTTATCTTAGCGAAATAATGTAAGTCATAAATATTGTATGTATATGTTTGTCTAGTCTTTCATTTTATCAATCCAACATTGACCTGTATATAAGTGTGTCTGTAAAGTGTTCTTCAATGTTTTAACAACAAAGGAATTGGATAGAAATCTTAGCTAACTGATTAGCTATTTTTAGAGAAAGAAACTCTGCAGAAAAGCAGAAATAAATGGCAATTTTCAACAGAATAAAAGAAAATTAAGTAGTATGAATAAAATTGCTATAGATATAGGGGAATTTCTTTTTTTCTAGAGAGTTGGATAATTTAATTTTCCGCTTAAACAATGCCAGCAATATTTTTAGTTTTATTCAATAAAATCCTTATATTTTTATCAATATTCTCGACAGAATAAGATTAACATTTAAGAACTAGATAGACATAAGATCGGTCATAGAAAAACATGAAAACGTTACGGCTTAACCGTCTAGCTCAGAAAGTGTAATACCATTAAAATCCTCTTCGTAAGTAACAAATCTTTTCCACTATATAAGCCAAAAATATTAGTGTTATAGGAATGTAGGAATAGATAGAATAATTATATAGTAATAAATAGTGATATAATTAGTATGTTACACAAAATGAAATTACACAAACTGAAAGATTACGTTAAAGCATACAAAAATGAAAGGATGCTACCATTTGAATGCGATACCATACCAAGTGATTTTCCATACACCTAAATTGAATTAATTTATGTTAATTCCAAGTGTTACCCAGTCTACATGAGTTGTGTGATAATTCCGACAGACTAAATGAAGCTTGCGTATAACTGGAAACGGTTGTAAAATGTACGACGTGAACTTCAAAACGTCCCAACTTCTTTCTTCTGATAATTTGGCAAATATTTACTTTTGATTACGGCGTGGGAATTCTTCGTAATAAAATAGTAATCACTCCTAATTTTCAGCGTTGTGTAGAACATGGTATTTTCATTTATATGGGTACTAAACTGGGGAACGTATCACATTTGATCTTTAGAACTTAACTATATTACTACTCACTACAGTAGTTTGTGAGGAATTCATTAAAAGCTATATTCTCGTCATCTGAATTTTTAGTGGTTTTGTCACACTACTTATTTAGTGTACAAGTAGTTCAACTGGATGCATAGAATTATCTCGTGTTTAGTTTTAATAGTTTTTCGCCTGGAAACATATTTCCCTGAGGGGGATAGAGTAAGATATGTTATTTTTAGTAACTGTAGTTTTTAATTTTAAACAATTCTGTTTGTCAATTCATTTTACTGAACACGGATTATCTGCTGATAAAATTTTCAATCATCTTATGAATACTGATCACTACAGGAGAATTGTAATTCCAGACCAATATTTTGGAAAATTTTAATTGATTTGAAAGAAATTAACAGAATTCCTATCACCCATTCTCTTGAACTTGGATACAAGATCACACACCTTTATATATTTTTGTTCACCTATAGTTTACATCGTCTGATTTAAAGCAAATAATTCCTTTGATAAATTTCGATAATGTAATAAAGAGATGAAGATTATCAGAACTATGTGATATATAAACGCAGTACATTTCGAACAATCTGATTCGTCTTCTTTAATGACATCACAGAAGTTTCCCTATCTAGGTAAAGAATGCTCGATTTCGAAAAAATCTAATACCACTTCACTTCAGTATGATATGCAACAGCCTGTTCTCACCTAAAAAGTATAATCTGGCGTCTTAAATTTTGAACAGTTTAGAATTCAGCATTCGTTTATGGATACAAACTCTTATAATGCAAAAATATTAAATATTGGGTAGAAGAGCAGTTTGTGTCGACAGTTAGTTGTTAAGCATTGTAGAATGACTTGAATTATGATCTATGGCGACTTATTGATCCTACGAAATTTATCTGCTAGCCATATAATTTGAATCACATAATATTTTCGCTCATTTATATATCTTGGTATTTAGACAATTTTTTAAATTACATTTAGTATAATTTATGTGATTTAAGAATATTTACCTTATAATCAATATTTCTTCCTTCGTTCATTTTAATGCCATGCTGTACACAACTTAAATATGGCCATTTAATATATACATATTGTTTAGTACCATGGTACTGATTTACAGTTGAAGAATACTTACACGACTTTATATATTATTGTGTGAAATCAGATTGATAAATACTTTACACACTAGAATGTTTTATGAACGATATCAAGAAAAATTATGTTAACCCATGTGTTCAGCAATAATTCCTGAGTATAAGTTTTCGCTGGACACCAGTTCGTTGATTAGACTATCTGGTTAAATTTAAATTACTTCAACATCAAATCATGTTCATGAGAACTAATAATTTTAACTTATTCATATAGTGTTATCTTTTCTGTGTCATTGAAGACTACTCTTTTATAAAGCCATTCAATAATCTTAAGAAATACCTGTCGTAGCAGCTAATCTTTGTTTTCTATTTCAACGTTTATTTCGGAATTATATGTTTTTAAAATATAAATTTATAAGACTTTGTAAAATATATTCTTGATCTAACTTTGTTGATGAACTGAACTATAAGTGAACTTGACAGTTTATACTCATTAAAATCCATCTGTCAAAGAAGCTTGAAGTGTGAACCGAGGAAATTTGTTTAGTTGGTAGTTATTTTAGCAGTCTTTTAAAATTTTTTTGTAAGCTTTCAATCAAAAATAAAATTAAAGAAACCTACTTCTTAAATAATGATTTTTGACAGAAACTCACAGACTTGAGTATTCAATGTAGGAAAGTTAAAAAGATCATCTGCATCAAAAGAGAGTTTAGCCCCGCTTACAACTAATCAGCAGAATGTACCTCCATCTCAATTATGATGTTCACACTCGAGTTGTCTGAACCCAGTAGCTTAGTGAATAAAGGGCCGGCCTTTGAAATGGTAAGTACTGGGTTCAATCCCAAATGTGAACGAAAACACTGCGGTGAATATACGTCAAACTAACGAGTTTTAAATAAGACGGAACACATTTTTCGAGTCCCATTGTTATCCACTTCTCAACTGTAATGGAAAACTATATTTAAATGTCATTATTGGGGCAATCCACAAAGTATGGACACACCGAAAAAGAGTGATCAAAATCCAACCAAGAATATCAGTGATATAATGATTCAAACTCTTTCTAATACTCGAAAAATCCTGAAAGAAAAGACATTGTTTATCACTACAGAATGGTAATATTTTGAAAGGAAAAGAAATGGCTTTAAATAAATTTTTCAAACTTATTGGAAAGATAGAAAGAATAATACAAAGTTACACGAAAATGACCTAAGTAGGGTGAATGGTTTTGATACTATTTTCAGTTAGGTCAGTTTACTAAAACCAATAAAGTCAGCAAAATATATATTGACCATAAATGGAAACAGGTTTCTGTGATTATATTCAATTAATTATGGTGAAAACTATATTCATAAGGTTCTGATATAAATTATCATTTTTAAAATAGCCAGTCACAGCCATTAACTAAGTCAATTCACAGTAATACCTAAAGAAACATTAAGTTAGAACATTTGTATTTTGAATCTTTTCAGTTTTATTCAATCGTATGGTATGAATAATGAACATGATGATATTCAACAAAGCACAATAAGTCTAGGATGCAGGTACATTCAGCTGACGAGTCTCAAAGAGGACGAAACGCGCGTCCTAGATTCCACTGCTAACCAACATCCATCTTTACTTATGTTTGTGTATTAAGGCAATATCGATGCAATTCGCACACTATGCCCATATACCTATAAGGGACTGATCAATTGCAGTCCTATACATCAATGGGAAGATTCAAGTAAACAATACCAAGTGAATTGAAAATATATTAATCATTTTATCTAGTCTAAAGCACAAATTTTATTCATTAATAAAGGAGGTTTTGATTTACTTTATAAGTGTATTGATATTTTATTGTATAGTGAAGAGATCATTTAAGCTTGATGGTAAAACAATCCAACTAAAATTATGAAAAAAGAGAAGACTAAATGAAAATATGAGTCAGTAACATAGTAAGTGCATAAAGTACACTTACATTTATTTGACATAGTTAATCAATATTTAATAAAAACAAGTTAGCTAACTAGAAATTATTACAGGGGAATCACTCTTCTTTCAATACCAGGAAAAGTCTTCAACAGGGTATTGTTAAACAGGATGAAGGACTCCGTAGACGCCCAACTTCGAGACCAACAGGCAGGATTCCGTAAGGATAGATCGTGCACAGACCAAATCGCAACTCTACGGATCATTGTGGAACAATCACTTGGATGGAATTCATCACTCTATATCAACTTCATCGACTACGAAAAAGCATTTGATAGCGTGGACAGAACAACCCTATGGAAGCTTCTTCGACACTACGGCGTGCCTGAGAAGATAGTCAATGTCATACGGAATTCCTACGATGGATTAAACTGCAAAATCCTTCTCTTTCTCCTGGTGATCGACTGGATCATGAAGACATCAACATCTGAAGGGAAGCACGGAATACAGTGGACAGCTAG